CCCGGCTAACTTTTTTATGTATTGTAGAGACGAGGTGGTGTCAGCTGGTCTTGAACCCTGGACTCAGGCAATCCTCTCGCCTCCGCCTCCCGAAGTCCTGGGATGGCAGGCGTGAGCCACTGTGCAAGGGAGTATTTTTAAAAGCCTGACTCAGCTCATAATACTCCTCTGCTCCCTCAGATGGCCTCCCACTGCGATTAGGAACAAAAAAATCCAAACATTTGAACTAGAAACACACACGGCCAGAGGGAGGCACCCATGACAAGCCGGAGAAGGAGGCCCAGGCAGAGAGACTCACAAATGCAGGGTCACCAGGGTGGACCCAAGGCCAGCGAGAGGAGGGGAGAGACCAGTCAACGCCAGGGCCCCGCACCAGGGACGGGGGAGCAGAGGAGTAATGTCGGGGTGTAAGAGGTCACTTTGTTTGCACTGAAGTAGTAACAGGAGAAGCCACCATGGCAGATGAGGCGACAGGCAGTCTGAGATTGTGGCAGGGAGACGCATAAGAAGTTGTAACTATCCATCCAGGACGGTTGGTGGCTTCATGAGAGTGGCGACAGCCACTCTCTCTATGTGTGTGTGTTTAGAAATTCCCAAAGAAAAAGTGAAAGGCGCCAGGCATGGTGGTTCACGCCTGTAATCCCAGCACTTTGGAAGGCAGAGGCAAGAGGATCGCCTGAGCCCATGGGTTCGAGACCAGCCTGGGCAACTTGGCGAGACCTCGTTTCTGCAATAAATTTAAAAATCAGCCTGGCGTGGTAGTACACACCTGTGGTTCCAGCTACTCGGGAGGCCGAGGCGGAAGCATCGCCTGAGCCCAGCAGGTCGAGACTGCGGTGCATGCCCCTGCCCTCCAGTCTGGGAGTCAGAGTGAGACCCCGACTCAAACAAATGAATACGTAAACAATAAAAGAAGAAAGGGTGAACCGGGCTCGGTCGTACAGCCTGTCACCCCAGCGCTTCGGGAGGCCGAGGCAAGTGGATGGCCTGACCCCGCGGGTTCGAGACCCTCCCTGGCAACTTGGCGAGACCTCATCTCTACAATAAATCAAAAATTAGCCGGGCATGGTAGCGCGCGCCAGTAGTTCCAGCTCCTTAGAAGGCTGAGGCGGAAGGCTTACTGCACTCCAGTCTGGGCGACAGGGTGAGACTCCAACTCAAAAAAATAAAATAAAAAAAAAATAAAAGATCTAGATTTGGCTTTTTTAATTAATTAATTAATTAATTTTATTTTAAGAACTTCAATTTGACGCTAACTTCCTGCCTCTTCAAAAGGCGGGTGGTGGAACCCTTGAGCAAGTTAAGTCTCAGTTTCCGCACTGATCGAGCGGTGGTGGCATGCTGGCATTACACACAGGCGTGTCCCGGCCTGGCATGGTGCGCTGGACACAGGGAATGCCCAGTGATGACAGCTGGTGTTTGTGCTGGCGTCCAGCCTCCTTCCTTCCCACCCCCGACTCCGCCTCCCCGTCCATGGAGTAGTTGAAGAAAATGTCACTGACATTGGTGATAGTTTCTCCGTCTTCTGCCTGGCTCCTGAGGGTGTAGATTCTTTTAATCAAGTCAGCAATCACTCGGTTGACTTCCCCAGAAAAAATGACCACATCTTTTGGTTTCGGAATTCTTTGTCTCTACACTCCTCATCTTGAGCCACTGTTCACCTTCCCTAGAAGAATAAAGTGAGCTTCAAATCATTGTATTTATACTGAAAAAGAACTCAAGGCACCTCAGAAAATTTCCCAGCCATAAAGCATCAACAAGATCTGCCAATCAGGCTGGGCGCGGTGGCTGAAACCTGTCATCCCAGCATTTTGGGAGGCCGAGGTGAGAGGATTGCCTGAGCCCAGGGGTTTGAGACCAGGCAGGGCAACTTGGTAAGACCCCGTCTCTACAATAAAACAAAAACATCAGCCGGGCTTAGTAGCACACACCTATAGTTCCGGCTAGTTGGAAGGCTGAAGCGGAAGGATCACCTGAGCCCAGCAGATCAAGGCTGTGGTGGCCATGAGTGTGCCAAGGCTGTGGTGGCCATGAGCGTGCCACCGCACTCCAGCCTGGGCAGCAGAGTGAGATTCTGACTCAAAAAAAAATAAACACAGACTCACTAAAAGACATCAAAATTGATGAGTTTAAAAACTGTTTTGGGGGGTGGGATTGGCAGTTGAGGGAAACTGCTAGGGGAGGGAGGGGCACACCTCATCCACAAGGGGACCTGCATAGTCAATGTTTGTCTACCTAACCCCGAATTGTATCCCACATCTCTAAAATAAAAAACTTTTGAGTGGTAGAAAAGGAAAAAGCGTCTTGATAGGCGTCCTGCATCCGAAGGAGAGTTCTTTGAAGGTGACTGAAGTTTAAACATGCAAGAACAAATACCTAGTTTTAATAAATAAATTCCGGGCTCTGGGGGTTCCCTCGTACATATAAACGAGTTGAGCGTTGACCTTAAAGAAGAGAAGGATGGGGCAGCTTGACGCCAGGGCGTGGGGCTCCGGCGGCGCTCGGAGGCCCCGGTCGCGGGCTTGCAGCCGCCCTCCGCAGCAGGCAGGAAGCAGCCCGAGCCCCGCCGCGGGTTTGAGGCGCCCTCTGCCCCTCGCAGGGTCACGGCG